ATTTGTTGTGATCCACACATTCAAAGGCTTTAGCATAGTCATTGAAGGAGAAGTAGATGTTTTTCTGGAACTCCCTAGCTTTCTCCATGATCCAGCGTATGTTGGCAATTTGATCTCTAGTTCCTCTGCCTCTTCGAAACCCTGCCTGTACTTCTGGTAGTTCTCGGTCCACATACTGCTGGAGCCTAGCTTGTAGGATTTTGAACATAACTTTGCTAGTATATGAAATGAGTGCAATGGTGTGGTAGTTCGAACATTCTTTGGCATTGCCCTTTACATTGGAATGTAAACTGATCTTTTCCAATCCTGTGACCACTGTTGAGTTTTCCAAATTTGCTGGCATATTGAGTGTAGCACTTTAACTGCATCATCTTTTAGGATTTTGAATAACTCAGCTGGAATACTGTCTCCTCTACTAGCTTTGTTGTTGCTCAGACTTCCCAAGGCCCATTTGACTTCACACTCCAGGATGTCTGGCTCGAAGTCAGTGACCACCCCATCATGGTTATCAGGGACGTTAAGGTCTTTCTTGTATAGTTCTTCTGTGTAATCTTGCCACCTCTTCTTAATCGCCTCTGCCTGTTAGGTCCCTGCCATTTTGGTCCTTTATCATGCCCATCTTTGCATGAAACGTTCCCTTCATATCTCCAATTTTCTTGAAGAGATCTTTGGTCCTCCCTATTCTATTGTTTTCTTCTGTTTCTTTGCACTGTTCATTTAAGAAGGCATTCTTATCCCTTCTAGCTATTCTCTGGAATTCTGCATTCATTTGGGTGTATCTTTCCCTTTCTCCCTTGCTTTTCGCTTCCCTTCTTTCCTCAGCTATTTGTAAAGCTTCCTCAGACAGCCATTTTGCTTCCTGCATTTCTTTTTCTTTGGGATGGTTTTAGGTGCTACCTCTTGTACAATGTTGCGAACCTCCATCCATAGTTCTTCAGGCACTCTATCAGATCTAATTCCTTAAATCTATTTGTCACCTCTACTGATTCAAACTGAGACCATTCTGTCATTTTGGAGATTGTATCCCAGTACTGCTTTTCCTACTCTTTTATTGACTATGAAGGCTACTTCATTTCTTCTGAGGGATTCTTGCCCACAGTAGAATACCTGATGGTCATCTGAATTAAATTCACCCATACCTGTCCATTTTAGTTCGCTGATTCCCAAGATTTCAATGTTCAGTCTTGTCATCTCCTGTTTGACCATGTCCAGCTTACCTTGATTCATAGATCTTACATTCCAGGTTCCTATGCTGTCTTGTTCTTTACAGCATCAGACTTTCCTTTCACCACCAGATACATCCACAACTGAGTGTCCTTTCGGCTTTGACCCAGTCACTTCATTCTTTCTGGTGCTATTAGTACTAGCCCTCTGCTTTTCCCCAGTAGCACATTGGACACCTTCCAACCTGAGGGGCTCATCTTCCAGCGTTATATCTCTTTGCCTGTTGATACTGTCCATGGGGTTTTCATGGCAAGGGTACTGGAATGGGTTGCCATTTCCTTCTCCAGTGGATCACCTTTTGTCAGAGCTCTCTGCTATGACTTGTCCGTCTTGGGTGGCCCTGCACGGCATAGCTCATAGCTTCATTGAGCTATACAGGCCCCTTCGCCACGACAAGGCAGTGATCCATGAAGGAGGGTTGATGTTTACATGACCAGATTTCAGACTAAACCAGGCTTCCCCAAGCTGATGATAGCACCTGTACAGAAAATAGTCCCCATCTGGGGGACCAATAGGCTAGAGTCTTTTCCATGTCAGGAAAGCACATGTGGTTTTTCCTGCTTCTCCAGCTGAGACATGCATAATCTCATGCAAGCAACAAGTAAAGCAGAACGACTTTCTGGGGGCCCCTCATAGAAGAGGGGCTGCCCTGTTGTGCACAAAATTATAACAAGACAGTGTTCTTCTCCTGTCTTCATAAAACAGTCAAATAACTGTATCAAAGGCAGTCTTGTCCTGGACAGTTCAACTGCAGTTGGTTTCTACCTCAGCTGTAAAGCGTAGCTCCTCACCTTGCCTTCAGCCAGGCCTGGTGCGTCTTCTTTGCACCTCTTGGACAATAAAATCAGCCAATTCTAACTTAAGGGGAGAACTTCCAAGAAACACAGGGCAGCTGCTGAAAGTAGCAACCTCATGTCGGATTCCTCATTCTCTCTTATTAACATACAGTATAGCTTAACCCAGACTTCTTTTATCAGATGGCCTCCAGTTGTGCCAGACTACAACTCCCACAATCCCCCAGCCAGCATTATAAGAGTTATAAGCCAACTAATCTGGAGGGTACCAGTTTGCGAAGGGTTGGCCTAAGTCCACAACCTGGGCTCTGTCTTTCCCCGTTGGCAGCACCTAATTATACGGATTGGAATGGAGAAGCACCATTAGGATGTCAGACCATGGGGTAAGTTGGCCTAAACTCATCACTGTTCCGACATTTTCACCTTCACTTGTGTCCCAACTGCTCCCATTAAACTGGACAACACAACCAAGCCCAAGACTTCTTCCCTGCGTTCCTATGTCCATAGCACTCTGCATTTCTTCCCTGAGGAACTGAGTTGAGAGTCAACCTTGTGGTTTTCACTCTTTGTCAGGTTTGCAATAAGGCTGTGATATTAACCCATTGTCTTTCAAATATACAAGTTCCCATCATTGATGTCCTAGTTTCAAAGTGTAAGAGACTGATCTGACGCCTGTGTAAAAATACTGCTTCATTGTACTGTACAATGTGAAAAGAGAAGTCCTCAGATGATCTGGGTTTATTACTAGTAAGTTCCTCTGTTGCCTATTTCATCTTAGCATCATACGAACCAGTTTCCAATCCGGTATTCATTCTAGTATTCTTATTTACCTGTTTGAGGATGAAAAATAAATCTCTGTAAAAATGTGTATGGAATCAGCTGCCACTAACCTAATGGAATGTTCAAAGGAATTCTGCATGCCAAATGTCTGTTGTTGTTTGGTTTTCTACAAATACTGTGGGGTTTTCTCCCTAAATGAAGTAAAAGAACAATCCATTTAAAAAACACAAGAACAAATAATTGAGTTCCTTCTTTACCTACTTTATTGCTATTCCCCCTTCCCCCCATGGAAAGTGCTCTTGCCCCTTAAGCAGGTGCCTCTGAGATCACCATTGATGCTCAAACTGGTCACCAGTTTGTGGCCATGACAATTTAGACAGCAAGAGTTTATGGTGCACCTTGCCAGGAGGAGGCAGATGTGTTGGGCATAGAGTTATGCATACACTCCTGTCTTTCCAGGGCCAAACTTCCTTCATGCTGCAGCACCTCTGAAACAGTAGCAGAGAATAAATCAAGAGTTTACACCAGCCTCCACCAACTTGGAGCTTTCTAACTGTGTTGGACTACAACTCCTCTCCTTACTGACATGGTGTGCTGGCTGGGGATGATAAGAGTTGTAGTCAAGCACACCTTGAGCACGCCAGGTTGTGAATGACCAGTTTACACTATCATCAA